TAATGTATTCTATTTTCCTTTCCAAAGGACAACATATGGGGTTAACAGCCCTTTGCATAGGTATATGTCGTTAATTAATTGTTATGATATTGAAGTCTTTAATGTATCGATGAGGATTTTTAAAAGGGCAGTTTTGTTATGAAAATAATAGTGTGTAACAGTAAAATTTCTTTATATAATTAATTTTGTTTTTGTTGATTGATAGTTAATTTATTTTACTTTTTTCTCCTGAAGTATATATTTTTTAGTAGGTAGCTTGGATTGTTTTTCATTAAGTTTTGTTTCTTCTTTTTCATTAAGTGTTAACACTTACTTGCTGCAGGTTTTATAATGTATACCTTACCAAATTATTCTTTTTTATTGTTATTTTGCTGTTAATATGCTGTTATCCCGTATAATAAATAAATAAAAATAAAATAAATAAATAAAAAAACCTTATCATTCGCGACGAGTGGTTTTAAGGGTTCGTACGACTACGTTTTTAAATTCTATTATTGTTCGTGGGCAGGAGAGGAAGGATCAGTAGGGGGACGATGTAATAAGGCGTATTTGCAATGTCGGGAATTTACACGCAGCAGATGCAATATATCATGTTATGAAAAGTTCATGTTGTATGAAATGAAAGAGCAGCCACCTTCAAACAGAAAAAGAGGACGCCCTCAGGATGAAGAAATTTCAGCAGCAATGGAAGAAATCTATAATTACATAGAAGGGCAAATTACGGGAGAACCACCACACGTGAAGACTATTAAAAAAAATGATGGAAAAATATGGCTGTTTTTAGTTCGACTCGTACCAAAAAAACTGTTGTCTGCTTTCGTAATTTGCAGTACTGGTGATAAAATCTTGAACGAAGTGTGGTATACTTCAAGGTGTCAAGATGAATAAGCAGGACATGAAAGAATCATAAGAAAAGCTGCTAAAACCATCTTAGATGATATTGAACTTATGGCTCATGACAATGCAAGTGCCTATCCACCTTCAGAAAGTTACTGCAGTGGAGTTGAAGAAGTGATACCCCAATCTCTTCACGTCTTTATGAACTGTCTTCAAAAAAAAAACGCTCCAAATAGAAAGTTGAATACTATAGCTCATGCTCTGATTGCTGCTGTTTGCCCTCGATGTTTCATATCCACAATTCTGACCAGCATTACTTTGTTCATGTATAGAAAGTTTGGATCAAAGAACTCGGTGTCCCTTCTTTTTACGACGCCCAACAAGTTGAGCTTTTCACCATCTATCACCCTGAACAGCCTATCCCAAGTGAAACATTTTGTCTTTGTCTTTGATAACGCGGATTACAACATCTCCACTATCAACGGCCTGAATACCTTCCACAGCATGGGAGATATTAAATGTGTTACACCAGCCCGAGCTCTCCTTCCAGCAAAGGTCGAAAGATTGAAATCTGCTCCCTCCAAGGCAGAAGTGAGCCAGTTTGGAGTTCTGGAACTTCAACCATTTGACCATAGGGTAAACAGCGCACTGCAGAAAATTATCATGGAAGACCTGGCCGTGCTGAATCCTATTTCATCGGACATATTCACACCCACGCACAGGTTTTGGAACCGACTCCAGATATGCCACCTATTCCAGAATGGAAAGGTTTTATGCAAATGATTAGTAAAGTCATTAATACAGAAAAAACTGAAGTAATTTTTTTTTCCATTCATTAACTCACCACATAGCGACTACAATACCAAAAACACTGCATTACAATTTACTTCATAAAATAGTTAGGAGGCAGGTGCCGCAGTTCGTTTCGTAATATTTGATCAAACTCTATACTTGAAGGCTCGAGAAATAACGTTTGGCACAATTATTGTGAGACTTGATGGATTTTACACCCTAATGTCTTTCATGGGGTGTATTGGTCACACGATGGCTGGATCTGAATTGAAAGAAGTATTATGTCAAGTATTTGCTGTGAATTCAGTTGACAAAATATTGACCGGCCACGAGCGATTCGGGGACATGTACTCGATCAACTTTTTTAGCTGGAATCATTCTCGAGAAAGCCAATATTTCAAAAGAAGAAAAGAGAGAGATCATGGCTATGTTGAGCACGATGGCATCACTTACTCCAGACAAAGTTGAGGAGAATGCTGGTTTGGTATCAACTTTCAACAAATTCAAAAATCAGCTGGATACTGTCAAGGAAAAATAGGAAAATGCGCCTACCGCTTCTTTATGGGTGCAATATTTTAATATGGTTACACTGATAAAGAAGTTCATCGATTCCGACCGTCGTGATGGTCACTTGGCGTGTGTACAGCAGATGATCCCATTCTTCCATTGCAGTATGCTAAATGTGCGCACCTCTAGGTGCAAAAATGACATCATTGAAAGATACCTATTCACAGGCATAAAAGGAATTTGCAGAAAAGGGGTACTTCATTATTAATTGATCTGGTACACCTTGGACAGGAGTATGGTCTAATATGACCAAAGAACAAACTCTAATGCGCTTCATTAAAAGCTCAAGAGGCTTGACGCAAAGAAGAGGAATTACCGATTCTGTAATCACAAAGTGGGTCACTGGATTATTAGAGGAGTTTGCTGGAATGATTTTTGAAAGTGAAGAGCAGCACGTTGATTTTCGGAAATCACGGCAACAGGGAGATTCACAAGACCGAGCAAAGATTATGGAATGGTTTAACGAGCATTCCCCTTTTCCAAAATAAAATTCGCTAGTGTCTCTGTCGACAGGCATTCTGGGAAACTCAAAAATTAATTGTCAACAACCTCTGGATTATTTTGGAACGAAAATCATGCATTGTTCTCTTAGCGGCAACTTTGGTGATGTGAAGCAGCCTAGAAAAAATGTCGTTTTATCACTAGCTAGTATGAGCAGTGGCATTAAAATCAATGGCGAGACAGTTACCCTCTAACGATTTTCTAAAGAACTGTTATAGCAAAGAAGAGTAATGAAGATATAGCAGATCTGTTGACACATGAACTAACTCCATTCCCTCTGGCTCTGTTCACGGAAGGCGGAATGAGGAAAGGAAAGAAATCTTCCCTCTATGGTGTTTTGCCAGTGGAGGAGAATGCAACTCTAGATCTCAAAACAAGCATCAATATCGTAGACGGTGGTTTTCTTCTCCATCGTGTGAAATGGCAAGCGTGCTTCAAGACTTCTTCAATTTGCGATCAGTAAATTGCTTATGTCTTTAAATATTATGGTCAAAAGTCTACGGTGATTTTCGATGGTTACGGTGAAGCTAACAGTACAAAACTAGCACAGCAGAAGCGAAGAAGGCTTAGAAGAACCTCAGTTAATATCAACTTTATCGGAAACACGACCATACAGTTCAACAAGAGTCCCTATTTTGAGATGTGGATTATATAAAGCTACTGTGCATCCAACTGTAGCAATAGTTGGAGAGGATGTGGACTTAGTCCTGCTTCTTGTTGCTTTGGCACCAGCATCAGGCAGCAAAATATATTTCACAAAACCAGGCCGTGGGAAAGTCGTAACCAAAGTATTTTCCCTACGGCGCCTACAACAGCTTCCATACGCCGACATGATTCTTCTTCTCCACGGTTTCAGTGGATGCGATATCACCTCTGCTATATACGGCAAGCGCAAAGTGGAAATGATGAAGCTGTTCACTGAAAACCATAGCATAACAAGAGACATTTTTACGGTATTTGTTAACTCTCATTCGTCACCAGAAGAGATCGAAGAAGCTGGCGAGAAAATGTTTCTAGTTGTATATTGAGCACCTCCAGAACAGAACCTTAATGAACACCGCTTTGCAGCTTTTTTAAAAGCCTCCTCGAGGCCGAAGTTTGATATGGTCGCTCTACCTCCCACAAGAGGTGCTGCAAAATCGTTACTATTCAGATACAGCTCTTAGATAGGTACTATTTTCTTATCATAAATATTAATTTCTTTCTTGACGACTTATTTGAACCTCCAGATAATTTCCACATCTAGATTGCATCACCATTGTTCAATCGAGTTTTTAAATTTATAATTTCTTCTTCATTCATCCCCGTGTGTATTAATCCTAGCGAAAACATATAAAAATCATTTTTTCTCCAAACGTCACTATGTCAGCACCTGTCAAGATGTTAGAAATTTAATTTCTATGCTGGTAGGCAAATTCAGCGGGTTAACACCTGTCGAAGTGGTAGAAATTTAATTTATATGCTGCTAGGCAACCGCAGCGGCAGTAGAAGTACTTTTAGTGCCGCTGGAGCGGCAGCAAAAGTACTTTTAGTGCCGCTCGTACTTTTACTGCCGCTTAACCATTCAGTTACCCCCGAGCTTACCCCATTCGTTTGGAGAAAAAATAGCGTGTTGCATACGGAGTAGAAGCACTTTTTTTTTGCTTCAGCAGTATTGCAAGCCTCACTACGTTCGGCTCGCAAACCTACTGCTTCAGCACAAAAAAGTGAAATTTCTACTCCTAATACAACAATATACTATTCTATCGAGAATCTCATGTAGAATAACTTAGTACTCTTATGTTTTTTCGCTAAAAGCCATAGTTTTCGAGTTATAAAGCAAAAACCAAAAAAATAGCTTCAGGCACCCCCCACCACGTTCGCTCGCCCCCACTCATCACGACTTTTAGTATGTTATTTAGGACACACCTTCACCTACATCTGTGCCAAATTTGGGTACTACACGATTTTTTTTCCTATTTCTCCTTCCTTTCCTTGCCTGGCCTAATTTTAGTAGAATGCTTTTCAATTAGCAACTCCAGAAATGCTAGAGAGAATATAGAGAGATGGAGACCTCTTTTCAGAATATTCCAAAAAGACTTGAAATCTAACATTTCCGATACTTTTTTCATTGTCAGAGAAGAAAATAGGTCAATTAATTACCTACTAATTTGCGATAAAAGGTATCTATTATTCATTCAAATTAATGTACTTTCTTATTTACCAAACACATCGATAATAATTTTAAAATAATTGAAATGATAAAAGAAAAGCCATTTAGTTTGGGTATAGGTGCAATCAATAAAACCACAAGGATATGATAAACTATTTAGTTTATTTTGACTTTCATATACACTCACAAATTGAGAGGCGGCATTTAAGCCGTAGGATACAAACATTTACCTATTAGATATTTTAGAGAGCGTACGCAAAATGTCCGTAATTTCCTTTTTTTTTTCTTTTGTTGACGTTAACAATAATGTTTTTTTCAAATTATTAGTAATGCCTGTTATATAGTTTTTCTTTAAAAAGAGCGTTTTAATGTTTATTTTTTTATCAATGTTATAAACAATAGTTTTACCCTGTGAGTTTTTTAAAAATTTGTTTTTGAAAAAAAGAAATTTGGACATTTTGCTACTTGATTTTTTAACTATTATTATTAGTATTCAGCTATTAAAACAAAATTGCGAGAGTAATATCCAAAAATAAAAAGTTATTCTTAAACAAAATTGATTATGAAAAAAAAGAAGGCTAATGAAAATACCCAAAGTGAGAAAAACTATGAGCAGATAATATCAATTTTCATTCACTTCTTTTCTTCATAAAATAACAACCCCAAAAATACAAAATAATGAGAATCAAAAATAAAAAATATATTCATTTAAATTAACTAAACTAAAAAAAAAAAATCCTATTTACATCACAAAAACGAGAATAAATAGGCTAAATATTCTAGAACCTTATAAAACTAAAAATCACTTCTCAAATAATATATAAAAGTCTTTTGAAATTGATGAAAAATAACAATTTCTAAAAAAAAATTAAAATTAAAATGAAATCCTACAAGATATTAACACCTAAAAATTAATGACATTTTTCAAAAAATAATATACAAAGATGCTTATGTACAAAAAGCACCTAAATTTACTGGCTTTTTACAAAATAGGTAAACTAAAAATTGTAATATTTAAAACTGCATGTGCAATTTAAAGCAAACGTAAAGTGAAACAAATTCAAATATAATTTTTTTGAAATCTACTAGGCTAGGAGTTATTTTATAAGCATCTTGGTTAGTAATAAATGAAAGAGTGTTAATATCTTGAAAAGAAAAGAAAAAAGGTGTTAATAAAGAAAAAAAAAACCATTAGATATGAGTACCTACATGTCAGTAACACAATTCATAGAGAGCCTCAAAATTATTACAAAAGAATTAAACAAAATATCATTTATTTAAACAGATCAACAGAGAATAAACAAATATACAAAAAAAATTGTATATCAATAATGAAGCCTATATAAAAGATAGAATAGATATGAAACGGTAGGAACTAGATTTATTTTTTCGGGGGCAACGAAGGCCACCTATAATAATAGAACACATCGAAAAAACATATCCACAAAAAGCAAAAACTTCAGCTTGTGAATATTAATAATAATCGTATAAATTTTATAATTTGACGGATTGTAATCCGCTGCAAGCGTGTCAAAGAACTTTCCGGCTTAGAGATTGATTTGGTTACAATGAAATGTAATGCATCAGAAAGTTATAAGACAAGCGCCAATTACCGTATGATTCAGCAAATTCTATATTCAACAATCACACATTTTTTGTTCCAAGAAAACTCACTTTTTAATGCGAGGCAGGTCACGCCAACCGAGTGGCGTTTCCCATTTTTGAGTTATTTTGGATACGTTAAACCTAATAGTTAAAATTTTTAATATATATCTACTACTATATATATTTATATATGCGATCATGTTGGAATCCAACGAAAAAACATAAATAACTATTCGTATTTCAGCTTGGACGACGCACGCGCGAAATTGAGAGTTTTTTTGTGTTACGGCTAAATCAGGCGTTTTTAGGTGTAGATAGAGCTTAAAGCAGAGTGATAACAAGAAAGGATATGATCTGTGTTTTTATAGTTTTAGATTTATTGAAGCAAAAGAAGATACAATTTTCCATTGTACAAGATAGTTTGAAATTAACTCCATCGTAGGTGCAACTGAGAACAGTCACTGGCTGTATTTCTTGCCGTAAAAATTATTTGTGGGAAATGTGGCCAAGGGAAATTGCTGGAGATTATTTTCGGGATGACAGAAGGCGTACCTACCAGCATTAATCAATAAAGAGAAAAATAATCTCAAAAACTTACCTATACTTTATTTTTTTCCAAGATAGATTTTGACATTGCAAACTTTGAAACATAAACAATAACGCTTGACCCTGACTGGTCGCAACATGAGGTGTTTCTGCAGGTTGACATCAGTTTTACAATAGCGACCAATAAGTGGCATTAGCGTCATTGTTTATGTTTCAAAATTGACAATGCCAAAATCTATCTTGGAAAAAAATAAACCATAGTTCTCGTTATATCTTGGTGGATTAGATTTGCTAAGGTTATTATCCTTAGTTATCCCCCTATCGAAGGAGAGGGGGAATTGTAACGTACCAAAATTGCCTTGTTTATACTTTTTTTTTATTTAGAATTTTCGATATTTGAAGATACTTAGCATATTTTGGTTCTGTTGAAGAAAAATCTACATCTTTATGGTTACCTAGTTCTCGTTATATCTTGGTGGTTTAGGCTTGCTAAGCTTATCATCGGAAGAGTTTTCCCCCTGTCGTAGGAGAGGGGGAGTTGTGACGTACCAAAATTGCCTTGTTTATACTTTTTTTCTTATTTAGAATTTTCGATATTTGAAGATACTCAGCATATTTTGGTTCTGTTGAAGAAAATTCTACATCTTTATGGTTACTTAGTTCTCGTTATATCTTGGTGGTTTAGGCTTGCTAAGCTTATCATCGGAGGAGTTTTCCCCCTGTCGTAGGAGAGGGGGAGTTGTAACGTACCAAAATTGCCTTGTTTATCCTTTTTTCTTATTTAGAATTTTCAATATTTGAAGATAGTTAGCATATCTTGGTTCTGTTGAAGAACATGCTACATCTTTATGGTTACATAGTTCTCTTATATCTTGGTGGTTTAGATTTGCTAAGCTTATCATCTGAAGAGTTTTCCCCCTGTCGTAGAAAAGGGGGAGTTGTAACGTACCAAAATTGCCTTGTTTATACTTTTTTCTTATTTAGAATTTTCAATATTTGAAGATACTTAGCATATCTTGGTTCTGTTGAACAACATTTTACATCTTTATGGTTACCTAGTTCTCGTTATATCTTGGTGGTTTAGATTTGCTATTGCTAAGCTTATGATTGGAAGAGTTTTCCCCCTGTCGTAGGAGAGGGGGAGTTGTAACGTACCAAAATTGCCTTGTTTCTACTTTTTTCTTATTTAGAATTTTCAATATTTGAAGATACTTAGCATATCTTGGTTCTGTTGAACAACATTCTACATCTTTATGGTTACCTAGTTCTCGTTATATCTTGGTGGTTTAGATTTGCTAAGCTTATCGTCGGAAGAGTTTTCCCCCTGTCGTAGGAAAGGGGGAGTTGTAACGTACCAAAATTGCCTTGTTTCTACTTTTTTCTTATTTAGAATTTTCGATATTTGAAGATACTAAGCATATCTTGGTTCTTTTGAAGAACATTCTACATCTTTATGGTTACCTAGTTCTCGTTATATCTTGGTGGTTTAGATTTGCTATTGCTAAGCTTATCATTGGAAGAGATTTCCCCCTGTCGTAGGAGAGGGGGAGTTGTAACGTACCGAAATTGCCTTGTTTATACTTTTTTCTTATTTGGAATTTTCAATATTTGAAGATACTTGGTTGTGTAGAAAAACATTCTACATCTTTACGGTTACCTAGTTCTCGTTATATCTTGGTGGTTTAGATTTGCTAAGCTTATCATCGGAAGAGTTTTCCCCCTGTCGTAGGAGAGGGGGAGTTGTAACGTACCAAAATTGCCTTGTTTCTACTTTTTTCTTATTTAGAATTTTCGATATTTAAAGATACTTAGCATATCTTGGTTCTTTTGAAAAACATTCTACATCTTTATGGAAGACCAGTCATTAATTTTTTATATTTTAAAAAGGTGTATGACAGAGTGTTAATTAATTAATCACTTTTGTATTAGTGTGTCAACTAATTATCTATCTTAATTTGAATCATGGTTTCTCAAACTTTAACATGGTAGCAGAGCGTGGGTGAAAGAGGCGAGCAAAATTAGGAATATCAAGGGCTGAATCAGTAAGGAAAATTAGTAATTGAACTTTGAAGGATGGATCCAAGCAAAGTTCATACAGGATGACTGGAAGGTAAAGCTAATTGGACCACATAGAAATACAAAATGAACAATCTTCTAAGAGGTATTCCAAATGCCGTTGATATTTTGGAAGGAAAGTTGGTGCTCCCAGTTTTGAAAGAAAATGCAGTAGCAGTTGAAAATGCTGCGCATGAGGCAAGCCTGGTGAGTTTCAATACTGCATATTGTAATGCACTTCTTGCTCTTACGATAAATATGACACAAGATACCTTACAAAAAGTTATCACGTTTTCTACATCAAGAGAAGTGTGGGTTGAATTGAATAGGCTCTTTGATGGCAATGTCGAGGACACAACCTATGATGTTTGCTTAGAATTTTTTAACTATAAGAAGAAAGTTGGAGATGATATGGTAACTCACACGTCTAAGCAAGAGCCTGTGGAATGAGCTACAAAAGCGGTTATCAAAGGACAAAATCATTACAAATAAAACATGTAATTGTGAGTTACCTGAGTTGCTATTAGTCTGTGAGATTTCAGAAACTCTACCCCAAGACTACTTTTCCTTCAAGTCAAGTTGGATGTTAATGTCGAAATCTGACAGGACTATGGACAATTTAACAAATCAGCTTTGTTCTCATGAGAAGGGATTATCAGACAAGAATAATGAAAGTCATCAGAAGGCGTTACTTGCAGAAAATAGAAGCAGCTCCATCAATAATAGAAAACTATTTTGCAATTATTGCAAAAGAGGAAGACATAAGGTCTAACAATGTATTAAATGGAAAGAAAATGATAGACCTCCAAAAACAGAAAGCTCAAATTCAAAAAATAACAGAACACAGAAAAATAAGGATGCAAACATGATGTTAGTTGCTTTAACAAGTAGTGTCTTATTTAGCAAATGTGAGGAGAATAGCTAGTTTGTGGATAATGGGGCTACAAGTCATATTACAAATCTTTGAAACATTTGAATATTTTCAAGATACACACACCATAACGACAGTAGCGAATGGAGAAATGGTTAGAGCAATTGGAAAAGGAAACATTCTGGTACAAACAAAAATTCAAGACAGAGAAGATGTTTTGACGTTATCAGACGTATGGTACGTTCCTCTGATTGAAAATAATTTATTTTCGGATTTACATGCACAAGATTTACAGCCTACATCAAAGTTTGTGCATGAAACCATACTGACACTTGACAGGTGGAAGAAGTAGATTTGGAGGACTGTACAAATTAGCATTGCAGATCATAAAGCGAAAGGAAACAGCTCAAATCAACATAGTTTCAAATGATAACTTATTGCAACTATACCATGAATGCTTTGGTCATCAAAACAAACGGCACATCAGAGATATTTTGAGTCGTGAGTTTGACCTCAGAGTGACCTTAGACAGCAAAATATGTGAGGGTTGTCTTTATGGTAAAATGCACAGGAAAAAGTTTGGAATGAGAGAAAGTACCAGGAGAACTCTTACACACAGATGTTTGTGGGCCTTTTGAATCCAAAAGTGGCTATAGATACTTCGTGGTCTTCAAGGATGATTTCAGTCGATATCGTTATGTTTACTTTCTGAAAGAAAAATCTGAACTTGCGGAAAAACTGACAATTATGTTAATTGAAGTGAAAACAGTAGGACATACAGTAAAAGAGCTACTCTCAGATAATAATGGAGAATTTAACAATGGTCAAGCTAGAAAAATTCTACAAGAAAGTGGAATCAAACAGAGACTCGTACTGCCTTATACATCAGAGCAAAGTTACCTAGTTCTCGTTATATCTTAGTGATTTAGATTTGCTAAGCCTATTATCTGAAGAGTTTTCCCCCTGTCGTAGGAGAGGGGGAGTTGTAACGTACCAAAATTGCCTTGTTTATATTTTTTTCTTAATTAGAATTTCCGATATTTGAAGATACTTAGCATATTTTGGTTCTTTTGAATAACATTCTACATCTTTATAAAAGTCTTAAGACTAGTCATTTATTTTTTATATTTTGAAAAGGTGCATGACAGAGTTTTAATTAATTAATCACTTTTGTACTAGTGTGTCAAATATATTTCATATTTTCCTCTTAAATTGAATCATGGTTTCTCAACCTTAGTTTTCTAGTTCTTCATGCTCAATACCTCAGCCAGACGATGAAACTTTAAATATAAAAGAGGAGATAGATTTCAACAGGTTTTGCTTTGAAAGCATTTTCATACTACTTGATCTTTGATAAGGGATTTGTACCAGATATTTTCGGAAATTGGATTTGTGGTAGGTAGGTACTTTTGTTGTCATTTTATGACGACTAATGCCACTATAGGATTCTGGAAAAGTTACACATACATCCAAAGAATACATTCTGCTTCTTCCCGAACAAAAGTGTTGTTTTGCCAGTTCTTACCTAGGAAGCTAAGATTCACCAAAAAAATTTTAGAAGACCCAAAGACAAGAAGTATACGAGAAAGATTTCACTTGTACATAGAGAATAATGGCAAGATTTTCAACACTTACAAAGGTATCATCTTCCCTTCTAATCGGTTATTATTATAAACAAATTTCACCAATTTCCTTGACCAATTTCACCATACAAATACTTTCTCTTTTCTAAGTTATACAGCAAGTAATTTCTGTTATACCAGCATTATTTTTTGAAACACAAATCAAAAATATAAAAACACAGATCAATATTAATTAACTCCAAACACCACACGTTATATTGCACTTAATCCTTAATCCAACAAACAAAATAACTATCCACCTACCTTTTAAAAATTCGGCCGGACACACTGAAAACTCTTTTCTTCCAAGTTTCTTGTCCAAATTTAGTGCACGTCGCCCTCAACCACTGTACTTAATTTATATAATTAATTAGTATTATTATTAGTAGGAACCAAGTTTGTCAGATCTCGGGGGATATTATTAAAAGTTTCATGCGAAATACTTAAAAACAAGCACAACATTTTTTCTCCCGCTCTAGCATGATATTTTCATCAGTTACATATAAATATACATACAAATTTTTTTAAGTGAGATTATCGCGAGGTTGAATTGCATAAGCGATGTCCAATGATAATCTCACTGATTTTTTTTTTGAATAAATACAGAGTGATCAACTTTTCATAATGAATTAATAAGTAATTAAAAAATTAATAATAATAATAAAAAGATTCTTTTTTTTGCAAAAATTTATTATTCAATAATAATAAGTAAAAATGGACACGGCCGTTAGTTTGCGAGTCGTCTTTTTCTTATTTTGAGGAACAGGGTATACGGCTCGTGTCCAATAGGAACTTGCTTTACTGGACGCCACGCAAAAATGGCGCATGCAGTTTATTTATACGAGTACAAATCAAAAACACTACTTAGTAGTTTTTGATTCGTCCGGTATAATATAATATTATTACGCGAGATTTAGATTACATTTTTTTTTTATAGGAACAATTCATGTCGCAAAAAATTTTCTATTTACATCACACGGAAAAAAATGACAGGAACTGGTATTGTGCACGAGCAGTCAGGCTATTTCATCGGCTTTAACCGTTCGTAAACCTTCGCGCCCGCGCTTCGACTTAATAGTAACTATCAGTTGCAATTATAGGAAACATAACCCTACCTTTTTTTCTATGGTACATACAACAATAATTAATTATTATATATTACACAGCTACGATGATTTTGCTTATCTTACTACATGTCTTTAGTTAAAGAGATTCGTCTAATTAATTTGTCCACATAGATTAGGCTTTAGATATTTGGCCACTTAGTGTCCAGCACTAGTTAGAGCCTGCGTCGGACTCAAAAATCTCCTTTTAGGTTCGCTAGGCTGACAAAAAGCGTTCGAATTAGAATCCAGCAAGTGCCCTTGTGGCACTGGGCTTTCCTGAGCCGCCCTAGCAGCCAACAAAGTAATTTGATTAACCACATCTTCCATTTCGTGGCTCAAAGGGCTCTCGCTAGGTGGAGGCCCTCCGTTTCTTTGTTGATGAGCGTCAGACTTAAAATGACCTTTCAATTCAATCAAACTTTTGAATTTTTCGCCATTATTGCATTGTCTGCACTCGTAAGCTGTTTGAACGATTCTGAAAGCCCCTCTGGATTCTTGATTAGGGCCGTAGCATTGACGTTGATGTGTTAGTAAAGGAGAATCACCTGGATAAGCCATGCGACATTTTTTACAAACAAAACACAGTTCCATGTCAGTGTCTTTGATGGGCAAATCCGCTGGTCTTTGGTAAGTGGTGTCAGGCAGTTTTAGGGTTGTTACACCCGGTTCAGTGTTGTTTTGTGCCACTTGTTCTAGAACTTGAGGAGGTAGAGGTAGAAATGACGGACCGCTTCCAGTGTCTAGAAGCAATCCTCCGGCTCCCCCTGCAACAACAAAAAACAATTAAATTTCGAGTTCGGGGTTAACGATCAAAAAATTAGCCCAACGACAAATTAAAAATGCAAATTATCTCGACACTTTTAAATACCCATAAAGATCTTCCAACGGCCCACATTACCACTATTAAAACCTGCCCAAGAGTGGACCAAAAAATAAATAAAAGACAATCATTAAAAGATTACATACTTGTCGATACATTAACATCAACATTTTATCGGGCGGACCAAACGAGTTTTGCTCGTTAACACGTCGTAGGCATATCCAGACGCGAACGGGTGGACGTTTGTAGTTTGGGCTGGCCGAACGTCTCGTGGACTTGTATAAATTTGTCCCAACATTTGTGTTAAGATTGGGACGAGATTAAAATGTGATTCTCCACCGGCCCACTCTTAACTTTGATTTTATTGAGGTGTAAGTACCACCTTTAGAGATGGCTACGTTCAGAAATTTCGATATATCAATAATTGTAATATCTTTCGGCGGCTGTTTTTTACTCGTAATTGTGAAGTGACACCAGAAATTTTTTGTTGGTTTTACAGCTCAGAAGCAGGAAATTGAAAGTGCTTCTAATCGAATAAATGATAAACATGGCTCCGTCAAGTTAGCCCCCACATTCAAATTTTCTAACAAAATTGCAACCACTTGCTGTGCTCGAAGTGTGTTTTACTATGCTGATGATATTTTGAACTGTGCCCTTCCGATACCAAAGCTATAGGAAAAACAAGATGAGGGGTTAACTTGACGCTTAGCCCAAAATTTTGGGAATCAGGTCAAACAAAAATTGATTCTTATGCAATCAGAAGTGTGCTGAACTATGTTGCATCAGGTTTTTCACAAAAATTTCCATATTCGGTCATTTTCTGACAAAATCCTACTATGAGGGGGCTAACTTGACGCTCAGCCCCTCCAAAATTTTGGAAGTTAGATCAAACAAGAATGGATTCTTATGCAATCTGAAGTGTGCTGAATTGTGCTGTATCAGGTTTTTTTCAAAATTTCCATATTCGGTCATTTTCCGTCAAAATCCTACTGAGGGGGCTAACTTGATGCTCAGCGCCTCCAAAATTTTCGAAATTAGTTGAAACAAAAATGGATTCTAATGCAATTGGAAGTATGCTGAACTGTGCTTCAGATTGCATAAGAATCAATTTTTGTTTGATCTGAGGAGCTGAGTCAAGTTAGCCGCCTCAGCAGGATTTTGTCGGAAAATAACCGAATATGGAAATTTTGAGAAAAACCTGATACAGTACAGATCAGTACATTTCAGATTGCATAAGAATCCATTTTTGTTTCACCTGATTTGCAAAACTTTGGAGGCGCTGAGCGTCAAGTTAGCCCCCTCAGCAGGATTATGTCAGAAAATGACCGAACATGGAAATTTTGAGAAAAACCTGATACAGTACAGATCAGTACACTTCAGATTGCATAAGAATCCATTTTTGTTTGATCTGGTGTCCAAAATTTTTGGGGGGGCTAAGCGTCAAGTTAGCCCCCCAGTAGGATTATTTTGTCAGAAAAGACCGAATATGGGAATTTTGAGAAAAACCTGATACAGCAAAGTCCAGCACTTTTCAGATTGAATAAGAATCCATTTTTGTTTGAGCTGATTTCCAAAACTTTAAGGGGCTGAGCGTCAAGTTAGTCCCCACTAATATTTTGTCGGAAAATGACCGTTTATTGCAATTTTGAGAAAAACCTGATAAAGCACAGTCCAGCACCCTTCAGATTGAATAAGAATCCTTTTTTGTTTGATCTGATTTCCAAAATTTTGGGGGGATTGAGCGTCAAGTTAGCCCCCCCCCCAGTAGGATTTTGTCGGAAAATGATCGAATATGAAAATTTTACGAAAAACCTGATACAACACAGTTCAGCACACTTCAGATTGCATAAGGATTCATTTTTGTTTGATCTGATCTCCAAAATTTTGGGGGAGCTGAGCGTCAAGTTAGCCCTGCTCCCTAAGATTTTGTCGGAAAATGATTGAATATGAAAATTTTGAGAAAAACCTGATACAGCACAGTTCAGCACACTTCCAACGATCATTTTCCGACAAAATCCTTCCGAGGGGGCTAACTTGACGCTCAGTCCCCCCAAAATTTTGGAAAGCAGATCAAACAAAAATGGATTCCTATTCAATCTGAAGTGTGCTGAACTGTGCTGTATCAGGTTTTTCTCAAAATTCCAATATTCGGTCATTTTTTGACAAAATATTAGTGGGGGGCTAACTTGACGCTCAGCCCCTCAAAGTTTTAGAAATCAGATTGAACAAAAATGGATTCTTATTCAATCGAAAATGTGCTGGACTTTGCTGTATCAAGTTTTTCTCAAAATTCCTATATTCGGCCATTTTCTGACAAAATAATCCTACTGGGGGGTTAACTTGACGCTCAGCACTTCCAAAATTTTGAAAATCGACAAAAATGAATTCCTATTCAATCTGAGACTAGACTGAATTCTATTTCTTTGTCGGATCCACTTTAATAGCGAAATCCATTCGCAAAAATAGTGCGGCACTGGACACTGGTGTGGCACACTCTAAGTGATTAGATATTTGCACTGGTGCACATTGGATAAGAATCCATTTTTGTTTGATTTAATTTCAAAAATTTTGAGGGGCTGAGCGTCAAGCCCACCCTGTAGGATTTTGTCGGAAAAAGATCGAATCTGGAAATTTTGAGAAAAATCTGATACAGCACAGTTCAGTACACTTCAGATTGCATAAAAATCCATTTTTATTTGATCTGATTACCAAAATTTTGGGGGGCTGAGCGTCAAGTTAGCCTCCCCAGAAAGATTTTGTCGGAAAATGACCAAATATGGAAATTTTGAGGAAAATCTGATACAGAACAGTTCAGCACACTTCAGATAGCATAAGAATCCATTTTTATTTGATCTCATTTCCAAAATTATGGGGGGCTTAGCGTCAAGTTAGCTTCCCCAGTAAGATTTTGTCGAAAAATGACCGAATATGGAAATTTTGAGGAAAACCTGATACACCACAGTTCAGCACACTTCCGTTTGCATAAGAATTCATTTTTGTTTGATCTGATTTCCAAAAGTTTGGGGGGCTGAGCGTCAAGTTAGCTCCCCAGGAGGATTTTGTCGAAAAATGATCGAATATGAAAATTTTCAGAAAAACCTGATACAGTAAAGTTCAGCACACTTCAGATTGTATAAGAATCCATTTTTGTTTGATCTGATTTTCAAAATTTTGGGAGGGGGGCTGAGCGTTGAGCGTCAAGTTAGCCCCTTATATTGTTTTTCCTATAACTTTGGTATCGGAACGGCACAGTTCAAAATATCATCAGCACACTTCGAGTATACAGTAAGCAGTTGCAATTTTGTTAGAAAATTCAAATGTGGGGGGGGGCTAACTTGACGGAGTCGACAAACAATCTTGTTTTTTACAAGTATCCTGACAGTACTCTTCTGCTAAATAATTTCGTACGGTATTGGGCGCTATAATAGTCCATGATGCCAAATTCTGGAGTAATCTTTTGGTTTCATGTCAATCCTGTGAACAGCCGGAATTCCGTAGATACAGTACGATTGACAAACTATATTGCCGCTAATCTAAAAGGCCAAAGAGTACAATATACCCATACATTTGGCTTTCATCGATTTCTGAAAAGCATTTGACTCTGTTAAACGTTGGCAGCTTTGAGGTCAGTATAGACAATGTCAGAATTGACAGGTACTCAACACTCATACAATAGTTATTTCATATTTGGGTACATTACAAGTGCGTTAATGAACATGATTACAATAACGACTGTGAAAGATTAAAACGATGAGGTCGTAGACCGAGTCGTTCTAATCACACGAGTTTTGTATTCATGTTCAAACGCACGTGTGATGTACAACGTTTTATCTACAAAGCGAAAAATAAGAATGTTTTTCGTTTATTAGTAGTTGTTTACATTCATTTTACCTTTAGAAATTTAATTTTGACATTTGGTAAATCACCAAAAATAGTTGTGTTATAGATTCATAACCTAGTTCATAAGACCCTAGTTGGGTAGGTGAACTAAAGGTAGACAACTACCTATAAACGAAAATAATTGAAAAAACATTCTCATTTTTCGCTCTGTAGATAAAACGTTGTACATCACACGTGGGTTTAAACATGACTACAAAACTCGTGATTCTAATCTTTCACATTCGTTATTGTAATCATGTTCATTAACGAACTTGTAATGTAAATAACTATTATGCAAATGCAACTATGATAGTCAAACTAGAAGAGGATATGAAAACCGACAAAATCCCGATATACAGAGGAATATGACAAGGTGACACAATTTCTCAAACGCTAATCACGCTAACCTTAGAGGGTTTTCAAAAACCTGAACTAGCGGGATGATGAAGGAATTAATAAAGATGGAACAAAGACTGACCCATTCACGATTCGCAGAAGATATCATTCTCATTTGTCATACTACTGAAGGACTAACTGAAAATGATGCAGAAGAACTCCATGGAGCGTTCCTACAAGTAGGATTAATGAAGAACTTAACTGTAATGTAATGAACATTCTTTCGCTGAAGAAGATGAGAGTCTTCGGCAATGACCAGAGGTTGCTGAAGAAGTCTTCATGAGCTGCTGAAAAAGATAACTATGGGGTTGGAGGGATGTCGGAAAAAGCAACGACACCAGAGGCTGCTGAAGAAGTCACGTGGCCATAGGATTGGAGGGATGATTGAACAAGTGACGTCAATGACATCAGAGGCTGCTGAAGAAGTTACGTGGCCACAGAAAAATGTAATTGACTCGGACATAAAATGCAATTAGGTAAAGAAAATCAAACTCTGTTGGGCAGCTTTTGGTAAGCTCAAGGTTTATCCTTGGATCGGACGATATAGCATAAATCTCAAACAAGTCTATCGTCCATGCATACTTCCGCTTCTTACATATGGCTTGGAAACAATGTCATTAACCCGAAGATCTATACACACCCTAAAGGTAACACAGCGTGCATTGGAAA